TCCCACATATATATATATTGTTTGTGTGTGTGTGTGTGTGTGTGTGTGTGTGTTTGTGTTTGTGTGCATGAGTATGTTGGTATGTATGCTGGTTTGTGTAGGTGGGTATGTTTGTATCTGAATATAAAGTGTGTGATTGTATTTCATCATTTGTAGCCCCAGTCTGAACAGATTATTGTTAAATCTGCAATATTCTTTTGTTTTTTTCTCGGTTCACTGGTCCGACTTTAACTCTACCTCTGCTAACAATTGATATATATCCGTGTACGATACCCATAAAAAAAACTGACAGTCGGTCATGATAGCTCGGCAAATCGTCAACAAATCTCGACATGTTTCCATCAACTTTCCTTCGTATTGCGAATGCTACTGCACCGTAGTTCAGTTATACTCGTTCCAACCCCGAGTATGTACTGAAACATATAAACTTTTGTAGGCATGAATCTACCGGGTTCCGGAATTTTTGTGTGCCGTGACTATCAGTTGAAATACCCGGACGATGTGAGAGAAGAAGTGTTGGGCTACTACGCACCCCTGTGGTTTGGAGCCGAGTGTATAGCTGCTGGGTCAGTCATCGCCAACAAGGTGCTACTGATTGTGCACACATCGAGTGTATGGTGTTGGCAGGAGGGGCTGGGGGGGGGGGGGAATGTGGTAGAGAGAGTGAGCGTATGAGAGAGTGTTTGCATATGTTGTGTGCGGTGCTATTTCTTTGTCCATGTTGTCTATGACGACTGTATGTATGAATTGTGTATGGATTGTGTAGTTGCTTTTATTGGAGCCTGTGCGTGCATCTTTCGCCTTCAGCGGGTTTGACGTAGTGTGATCATCAACATGGACCTACCTCCTCCGCATCCCTTGCTTGTCACACTTATGTGAGCATCAACATGGACCTACCTCCTCCGCATCCAACATGGACCAACCTCCTCCGCATCCAACATGGACTTGCCTCCTCCGCATCCAACATGGACCTACCTCCTCCGCATCCCTTGCTTGTCACATCTCGTACATGCTATGTTCCATAGTTTCAGTTTATAATAATGGTTTTCTCCCATGTCGTACTGATGCACGTATAGTGTTGATCATAGGATTTTGTGTATTTAGCTTATTTTTACGAGTAAGGATTTGAGTGTAGACATATCTTTATCTTGATTCATATTAGATTGTTATCTGGATACTCCGTTGGCATCTATGAATTGCATCATCGGAAACTGATCAGTATTCTCGACCACCGCTGTAATATTCGGTACGATATAGTTCAACATACCTCTGAATGTTTGCAATACTCGCAGGAGGAGTCATCAATAAAGTTACGGCCCAGTGCCATCAGGTTGTGTAAAGTGATTGAGAAACTGCGGCGGCTGCTGCGAAAACAGGTAGGTAGAAACTGGCAAACCGTGCGTTGTGTATGTATACTTATTTTTTGTGGGTCTGATACTGACGTGCGTACAACGTGTGTGCATTGCTTCTTGGTTACAGTACTAGTCTATATAGCTTCTAGCCTTAGGAAACACTATGTCCTGCATGCGCAAGATTACACCTGTAATATCTTGCCTGTTCCCCACACATTATTAGACAATACTATCAACATAGATATGCCTGCAAACGTTTTAGATCGATCCATTGTCAGGCATACCTGTCTAAATTTACTAACCATACTGTATTTTGCCAGGTATTTATTGCCGACAACTGCTATACCCACGAGATGATTGAGCTCATGAGAGAGTTCGATCAGTGTTGGACAGAGTTTGAACTGGGCTATGTGTCGAGTTGGGTCAAGGTCAAAACCCCACACGAGGTATGTTGCAATATCGAATGAGTATCTGTAGATACACATGTACATGTGTATATACCATCCCGTCTGCTTACACGTCTGAGTCAAATCAGTGTATATTTCATCAAGTCTTATTGCTCGTGCACCTTGGCTTCTCTTCAGTGGTTGAGTGTCATGCTTTTAGGAAGAATTTGACCTACACGAACATGTAGATTTGTGCGCGCTCGCAGTGAATTTTATCCATATATATGTGTATGTGAATATATATATATATATATATATATATATATATATAT